GAAAAAACAAAATAAAAATCTGAATTTAGATTATTGCTTATAATAAAAGAAAACTCATAAACTTTTTTGCCATGTCATATTTTTGTTGGAGACATATCATCTTTTTTCTTTACCACATCATAGTTTTCAACCAATGAATTTAAACAAATAAACAAACCTAATAAATCTACTTCCCTTTTCCCTTTTTAATAGGAAGGGATAAAATAAATAGTTTTAATTTAATTTTCGGTGATAGATTTAATCATTTGTCCGCTTTKAACTTTGGATATAGATGAAAAGAAAAGACAAGGAGCTAAAGTATTAGATTAGGTTAACCATAGATGCTAGAAATGGACTCGTATGAAATTTACATAAGTATATGTATTAGGTAACCTTGTTATTTCAGATTAAATTATTGTGGACAAGATTTATATAATTTTATCGATGGGTGTAGGTAGCTTCTGAGGCTATATTCTCATTATTAATGGGAAAAGAAAGACCAAACACTATGCCCGGTCTAGCGCTTAGGCAAGTGAAACCATTACTTCAAGTTCCACTTTTTTAAACGTCTAAGTTTATAAGAGAAATTTACATCAACAAAAAACCTTATGAAATGTTACATATAGAAAATTAAATTACACCAACAAACCATAAACTTTGGCGATTTCGGATTCACTATTGCACATATTTAAATCGTTTTTCTTTAAGCTGTTTTCGATCTTTTTTCATAGATAGATATTTTCTCCAAAATTCTGAGATCAACAATAACACGCTACATATAAAAACATGTTTATCACCCACCATCTATTTAGCAACCCTACAAAAATCGAAATTTGAATTCAATTTGGGCTTCATTTTTTTTTAGGCTAACAATTTGGTTTTCATACCACTGTTGAAATCTTTCTCGTTTATAAATTATTTATCTATATAGAACTATACGTCGATTTGAAGCAAGTAAAAAGTCCACAGCTGCAATAAAAATGTAGGTAATTAGTTAAAAATAACAGAAGTCGAAACTATCAATTTTACGGTTGATTAATCACAGCGACATATGCAACCAAACACTAGAAATTATGTGCAAAAGATCTGAGCGTGATCGTCAAAAGAACAGGTGAAATTATCTAAGAGTAATTAATTAATAATTAGTACTACTGCAACCACTCTAGTAAATAGATAAACACGTGGCCTTAAAACAATACCTAATACTATAGAAGAAAACACTCAAAGCTTTTCTATATAATGCTCCTTCTACGCTTCACTATCATCCACACTCACAACTTCATCTTTTGTCTTTCTCCTGAAAAAGAAAAATGAGGTTTTCTCCTTCATTTTCTTGCAGTTCTATCGGAGCCCTAATATTGGGTTGCCTTCTGCTTCAAGCATCAACCTCTGTTGCTCAGTTGACGCCTGACTTCTACTTCAGGACATGCCCGTTTGTTTTCGATATCATTGGGAATGTCATCGTCGATGAATTGAGGACTGATCCTCGTATCGCAGCTAGCCTCCTTCGCCTTCACTTCCATGACTGTTTTGTTCGTGTAAGGACTACTCTTATCTTTTTCTCAATTAAAGCTAAGTATTCCCACTAAATGTTTTG